AATTGAATATTGATGAGCATCTCCATTGATATATTTGGGCCCCCACTCCTCGACCCCCAGATCCCCCAGACCCATATACCAGCGGAAATGTAGCCAGAACTGAAAACCCTCATTCAACAAAGCCAATGAGGCTTTGGAAGAAAGCTCTGGTATGAGCCAACAGAAATCTTATCTCGATGTTCTGGGAAATTTGAGGACTAATCCTACCAAAAATAGAGTCTGATTACCAACGTGCACTTATGAGATGATTAATGGTAAAGCCGTGGTGTTTTTCACAGAAGAAGAGCATGCAATGCTAGCAGAAACCTGTCGGTGGACGATAATTTGAAAATTTCTCAGAGGTAGGCCTGCAATTGAAAAAATTAGAACTGATTTTGCCAGAGTTATTTCTCTTAAAGGAAAAGTGAAAATTGGTGCAAAAGACCTCAAATATGTCTTCATTGATGTTGGAAATGAAGAAGACATTAATACTATCTCCTCTAAGAGCTAGATACACTTGGACGGAGATAACAGCATGAAAATTGATAAACGGTCTCGTAAATTCAAATCTGATACTGACTCCACCTTAGCTCCAATGTGGATTAACTTACCAAACTTACCATGGCACTACTACGAGGGGATCCCCTGTGTAGAATTGTTAGTCCCATAGGAACCCCAATAATCATGGACAAGGCAACTCTGAGTAAGTCAAGACCTACTACTGCTAAATTAAGGATTGAGATTGATTTGGCCAAGCCCCTTATCCATAGGAATCCACTTTACATTCTCCACCAAGAACTCAAGAGCACCTCTAAAGCCCTCAGTATATGGTCTACACACACCTTTGGGGACATCTCTGAGGAACCTAAAAAGCTTGAAATTCAGATGAGGACCTTAGAAGAGAACTTCCTGACTGTCAACAATGTTGATAATAGGAATGAATTATATAAGTGTAGAGCTGATTATACAAGGTACTTAAAGCTCCAGGATTCTATCCTTAGACAAAAAGCTAGAGCCAAATGGATTCAAGAAGGTGATACCAACACAGCCTACTTTCATGCTATCATCAAAGACAAAAGAAGACGGCTATCCATTAAGAAGATCACGGATGAGCAGGATTAATGGATTGAGGGTAATGATGCTATAGCTGAAGCTGTAGTGAAGTATTGTCAAAAGATATTCACCATATAAAATCAAAGCTCAGACTTTGATATTCTCAATTATCTTGAAAGGTGCATAAATGAAGAAGACAATGCTCTTCTAACTGCAAGAATGAAAGAATGTGTATTTTTCATTTACCCTGATAGTGCACCTGGCGCTGATGGTCTTAGTGGATATTTTTATCAGAAATCTTGGCATATTATTGCTCATGAACTTCATAAGGGTGTGGTATCTTTATTTTATGGTGCTACCCTTCCTAAGTACTTCACTCACACATGTATTGTTATGATACCTAAGGTTGAACATCTTCAGAAATTCAATGACCTTAGACCTATCAGTCTGTATAACGTGTCCAGCAAGATTATTGCTAGGGTGCTTAACACCAGATTGGCTACAATACTTCCTAGAATCATATCCAAAAACCAAAGTGAATTTATCAAAGGAAGAACTATCACTGAAAACATCCTCTTCGCCCAAGAAATTATTAATGACATCAACAAGCCAAATAGATGAGGGAATGTTGTGCTAAAGTTGGACATGACTAAAGCCTATGATAGAGTTTCATGGCCTTACCTCTGTGTTGCCTTGAGAAACTAGGCTTCTCTGAGATCTGGATTGATATCATATACAGGTATATTTCCAACAATTGGTACTCGATGATAGTTAACGGTAGGAGGCATGGTTTCTTTAGATCTGGAAGGGGTTTGAGGCAAGGGGATCTACTGTCCCTACCCCTGTTTGTCCTGAGTGCTGAGTTGTTGTCCCAAATGCTTAATAGACTACACAATATGTATGGTTACAAGAGCTTCTACATGAATAACTATGGCCTTAAGATCAATCACTTATCTTTTGCTGACGACACTATCCTTTTTTGTAGTGGTAGTAAAAGATCCATGGAAATGGTTCTAGACACCCTTACCTCTTATGAAAAGTCTCAGGTCAACTCATTAACAAGAATAAGAGTTGTTTTGCTTTGGAAGCAAACTCAAAAACTAGCTATATTGCTAGGATTCAGAACTACACATGCATGCACCATCAACAGTTTCCCATTAAGTATTTGGGATGTCCTCTCATCACTCGAAGAAAGAAGATCTCTTATTTCGCTGATAGCATCGATAAAATCATCAACAAACTCAGGGGTGGCATACTAAACTCATCTCTCATGGAGAAAGAGCTATCTTGATATGACATGTTCTTCTTTCTTTGCCTACCCATCTATTAGGTGTGGTTAATCCACCTATGGGTACCCTGGATGCTATTGAAAAGTATATGGCTAGATTCTTTTGATCTGGGCAAGACACATGTGGCAAGCATCACTGAGTTTTCTGGCAGAAATTATACTTCCCATATCAGGAAGGAGGGACCAACTTCAGAAGGATATGAGATACCTGCCAAGCTTTTAAGGCGAAACAATGGTGGTCTCTTAGAAATACCAACTCCCTATGGAGTGAATTCATGAAAGCAAAATACTTCAACTCTAATCATCCTAGTATAACTCAGTGGAACAATGGCCAATCTCATTGTTGGAAAGCCCTCTACGGCATCAGGGAGGAAGTTGAGAATCACATGAAGAGTCTTTTATCACATGAAGAGTTATACATGGCAGATTAGCCACGGAAGATATGGTGGCTAGACTTGGAATCATTCTTGTCCCAAAATGCCATTGCTGTGATATTTCCAACATGAGGCCAGAGCTTGAGACAGTTGACCACCTCTTTTATCAGGGTGATCATGCCAAGAGGCCGTAGCAATACTTTGCAGGTTCCTTTGGGATTGGCACTAGCAATAACAACCTTAAGATCCTTCTTTTCAGCGGTTGGAATCATAACTCTAACAGCTCTATTACTACTTACATCGCTAAGACTCTTCCTCTCATAATCCTTTGGGAGATCTGGAGGTCTAGGTGTAGTAGCAAATTTGAAGCTAAGAAACCTTCTATATATAGATCCAAATCTAACATAGTTATTACCATTTTGCAAGTACTGAAAAATCACTTTTGCAGAGTCAGAATGGAAGAAAACTGGAACTCTATTATGCATGCCTGTGAAGTAACAACACAACAAACAACTGGTACAATGGTTAAATGGATCAAAACCCCAGTGTTAAGTGTCAAGCTCAATAGCAATGGGAGTTGTGTAGAAGGAAAATGTGGAGGAGAAGGGATTATCAGAGATTACCAGGGATTCACCATCTTTGCCTACTCCATGCAACTAGGACCGGGCACCAGCAATATAGCAGAAGCCGCAGCTTTGCTTTTTGGTCTAAAATGGTGCGCACATAGTCGACATGATATTGTGTAGCGGGAAACTGATTCTTTACTGCTTGCCAAATGCATAGCTCGGGAATGGAAGTCCCCTTGGTAAATTGAAAAGTACGTTAGGGAAATTCAAAAGCTAGTTGAAGAACATGGATTCACTATCTTTCACTGCTATAGAGAGGCAAATAAGCCGGCGGACAAACTAGCAGCTATCAGCCATTTCAGAAAGGGGACCCATATTTTCAACTCTTTGTTTGATCTACCTAATCAAGTCAAAGGCCTTGTAAATAGGACAGATGCAGGGTCAAACAGACAAAAACATCCATCTTTATATATGATCCACCATGAACTTTTTTGTCAACTTGAGAATCTTGAGTCTTCTGAAGCATACTTTTGGTTAGGACAAACTCTAGTAGTTTCTTCTCGATGATCATGTATAAAGTTTGGGATGCCAAACTCAAATCGTAACTTTTTGCACATCAATGATCAATGGAACTACCCTTTGAATTTTTTATTTTTTTTTTAAAAAGGCGTATGACGAATGCAAACACTTGGTACTGTACATATAGTGTAAGCCTCTTCAATTTCCTGTGTGAATTAAGAAGAAAATCCTTTTATTACGCTACTTTTAATCCAACCAATATTGTAATAAGATTTGACCCTTAAGAATATACAACATTGTAATTCAGCTTTTCATTCTCAAAGCACGCTTAAGGATATATTAAAATTAACGTCGCTCTTTCTAGATTATCCACCAAAAATTTATGTGCATGTGTAATCAAGAAGTAATTGAACCATATACGTAACCGGAGTATTATATACAATATCTGGAGTATGCAAAAGTATTGAAACAACCAATAATATAAAATTACACAAAAAACGTAATGGAGTAGTTTTATAGGGGTCTTGGTTTCTCTCCCTATTTTCAACTTTGACAATTAATGTCGATTAACTCTACGATATATATAGACGAACACGAAGAAGAAGAAAACAACAGCAATGCAAAAAGAGAAAAATAAATCTGATTCGGGACCCAAAGCAGGGCATGGTAATTATTCAATCACAACATAATCTGAACTTAATATTAAGAAAGCATAGTAACCAGTAATACAGTGTTAGCACATAATATGCACTTTAAATTATTGTAAGGAGTAAAATTTAATTAATCGTAAAACTTCAACTAATCATTTTACTTCAACCTCTCTCACGTATTTTATAAACCAGCCATGCTATAACTTTTCCAGCCAAAAGGTAGGATATTTGTTTTCATATTCCATGTATTGGTTGAGATATGATGAAGTCGTAGACATCACTTGACAGCATAATTAATACCAGTGTCATCATATTATAAAAATGATTTCGTAAAAAAACTTTAAAAAAGGCATTGAACCCTTAACTATTACTAGTAATTAAAACACCTAGCGAATCCTCAATCCCATAGATCAAGAATAGAACATGAAAAGAAAAAGGAAAGCAGATTCTTGAAGTATCATGCACCGCCATATTAATAAACTCAGAGAAGAGAGAACAATAGAAACAAATGCAGAAGGCAGAATTAAGCACTGGCTTGTGAGCTATGTATATACTATTTTATTTGAACAAATTAAATAAACGCAAACTATAGATTGATTGGATAACATAATAAATTTCACAGATGAGAAAAGGGACCGGAAGAGTCATTAATACATCTACATGTCCATAACTACGAAAGAAGAAGGAAGAAAAAGAATAAACTACATATATATATATATAATGAAGAAAAATGAAGAGAACTACAAATTAAGAGATAAGACAATTAATCTAAGGCTGCTTATGCCTCTGGGTATAGATATAATCAAGGTGAGCCTCTAGCGTTCTTCTCATCAAACATTCTTCTTCTCCTAGACCTTCACATCTATCGTCCACTTCTACCTTCGCTGTTGCCTTATCCTATAACCACAAGTAATTAGGTAATCAGTTAAATATATGAATATCTAAATTTAGTGGTGAAACCAGGAATTTTAACAACGCCATTCAAAAGAATATTGTAGGAATGCCATACGTAGAATTTGAAACTACAATACGACCATTATACTAGAAGCTTCCTTATATTGACGAGGGATTCAACCATTTATTTATAAAAAAAATTATTATTCATTCAATTAAACTTCTTTTTTAGAAGCTAATTAACAAATTTTGAAATATAGGGATTGCAAACAATAATAATAAACATACCTTACTATGCTCCATCGGAGTAACGTCGTGATAAGGCGTACCCATCGGCCGGGAAGAAGCGCAAGTTAGCGTGAGAAGGAGGAGGAATGATATCATGCAAAAGGAGTTAAGCTTAGCCATATTTATTTCTTCGTCTCCTTTCTCGATCTATAGCCTTCTGTGTATATATATGTTGATCGCAAAAGTGATGGATTTATAGAGTGGAGAACCAAGAAAGCAGGGAAAAGTGCTGTATATAAAGAGCTGTATATAGTAATTTCTAAATATATAATTCTATAATTATCTCTCTTTTTCTTATTTTTTTAAAAAAGAAGAAAATTACGGAGGGATGACGAAAAGCTAGGAAAAAGGGTGGCCAACGTTTGTGGATATTTCAAAGAAGACTTCTAGAGAAAGTAATGGACGTGTTGTATTGTACTGTTATAAAAATGGGATAAGGTCAACGAACAATGAAGCACGGGGTTGACCTCTTCCACAACCCGACATTTGGTCTACGTCGTCAAATTAAGGTTCTCCCTCTATTGAGATAAGAAGACTTAAATAATGTTTTTTTATAAGAATGATTAATGAAAGGATACATTTCTACAGTATCTTCGGTTTTAAATATTAGTCGTTTTAACAAATTAAATTTATTTTAAATATTTGATATTTCTAAAAATCAAAAAGTAATTTATGGTTTCTTTTCAAATCTATTCTTACTTCTTTTGATTCATGTAGTGTTAATTAAGTGATACATTTAAGAAAATGTAAATGACATTTAAGATTAAGGCTATAAGCAACTTTTTATATGTGCAAAAACCTTTAAATTAAATTATATAGATCAAAGAAGTGGAGTATTAATTTTGCATTTATCGTCACAAATGAGCAGAGGAGTAGCATATTAGGTATCCAAAATCTTAGTTGCCTTAGATCGGCGATCATATTTACTAGTACTAGTAATTTAATCATATTCACTCTTACATACACTTTAAATGTATCCTGGACCTTGATTATATTACAATAGGATAAATTCATAAAATTGATGAGAATCTTGTATGATGAATTAACATATACGTACACATAATCCTTTTAAGCTATATATAAATATAATTAGGATGTTAAAAAGAACTTTTCATTAGGCTATCAAGACAGGAAATGGTGAATTGAAGACACAATGATGGAGCAGAAGTGAATGGTCAACATGGGCCGTGAAAGGGAACCAACGAGCAGGGGCAAATTTAAAGGGTCCCGGATTTAAGGCAACATTAACTTTTGTTTAAACTTCATATATTTAATAAAATTTAATTAATATTATTTTATTTTATTAGTGTCGCTATAATATTTCACAAATTTTAAAGCGAAATTTACATAACTGTCACAGTTTAAAAAAAAATATAACAAATTCTTAGCATGAAATCCAATATTATAGTTGTGACAGAAAAATATTTATATTTGTAGCACACAGTTCCATTAAAATAGAAATATTAATTATTAATCCCTAAACATAAGCAATTTGAATGGAAAGTCAACAATTCTTTGTACAAAAATCATGCCTTTTTTTTCTTTATCTATTAGCTTTCCTTCTTTTTCTTCATTTTCTTAATTTTATTTTCTGCCGAAACCAATATATTTTCTAAATTTGTTCAATTCGTTTTCTTTTTAATTATCTTTCTTAAGCTTTCTATTTCTTCTTTCTTCCTTTCTTAACATAAAGATCTTACTTCGATAATAATATACGTTAATATATANTAAAACTACAATTTGAATTAAAGTGATACTTGATATACAAAGTATAAAAGACGTATAAATCAATACATCTTGAATTTAGGTGACATTCACATATACATCAGATTTTAAAAAATAGAGTGAAGAAGATGAATATTGGAAAGGAAGAATGGAGATGGACAAAAAAAGTACTTCTCGTGATTAGTGAGTCAGTTAACTTATTAAATATTGAGCTTAATTTTTATAATATGCTAATGAAAAAAAGTATTATTTATGAAATAAACAATAAATGATGCTATTTTTTTAAATAACAGTGAAAAAAAGATTAAACGCGTAAAAAACTCAATTTTTAAATCGTGATTGTGAACGAGACACATTCAACATGCATATAAATATGAGTTGATTACTATATATGGAAGGACTGCGGAGGTGATTTAATTAAGCTAATTAGCACGCTCCACGATGCATGCATCATCACTGCGTTATGATTAAATCTACCATGCGCCTATCCACCAGCTGCCCAAGACCACATACACATACACACTAAAAATATATTTTAATGAAGGGATCGAAACTAATAAAAAGATTTGTTCGTGCCTCAACTATTAGACAATTTTTATTTTTTTTATAACTTCTTACTAGCAAATGTATTATGTATTCTTTGCACACTTAAATTTAGACAAATGATAACGAGCATTTCTCTCTCTATATGTATAATAATACTTTTTTTTTTTATATTATGTATTTTAATTTGACTGGACACTAAGTTTAGAAGAAAAAAAATTCATCGAATCCTATGGTCATAAAAGAAAGAGGTGTGTAATATACCAAAATGCACTTGAATGTGTGGTTTGAAATATGTTACGTGGAATGTTGAAGTTAAAAAGTTATTAAATATGAAAATAATATTCTTTTTATAACAGACTAAAAAAAAGTAAGATATATTAATTAGTGGATGTCCCAGACCTCACAGTTTGGGATAATACGAGTATATTGTTATTATTGTTGTGATTAATTAGTGGATGTGTGTACGTATTATTCAAAATATATTAAGTTATACGGAGTTCAAATCGAGGACACGGATCTATAAAGAAAATCGTCTCCTGATCATTATTGCTCCATGTATGCTGGATTAGCACTCTCCAATATCATCATAAGGCTCTAGCCTTTTTCAACATGATCGATGCAGCATCGATCTTTTAATTTCATTTTTAGGTTTAAATAGAAAAGTAAAAACAAAAGCAAACCAAGAAAAAGCAAAAGCATAATAATTTTGTTTTATTGTCGTGAGTTAGATTTGGAATTTTTTTAGCTTTGACATAGTACTTCGATAACTGTACGCCGAGTCCAAAATATAATCCTAACAATTATCTCTTTAAAAAAAACAATTAATTAAGACCAAAAAAGAGCTTAGTTTTCAGAAAGAAAGCATGAGAGCAATTATCTCTATACTAGAAGGTTGTTGGAAGAATAGTAAAGTGGGAGAAAAGATCACATGATGAAAAAGCGTAAGAGTAGGGTTGACCTTTCGGCAATGAATTGAATACAGAAAAGAAGGAAAAAAGAAAAAGTAAAGAAGGTTCATAAGCATTGAACTTTGACAATTAATTTTGGAGGCGGGGATCGACTTGGGGGAGAAACTTGAAAGAACCTTCTGTGGTCTATATATCTTTGATTTTTACATCATTTTATTTTATGGCAATTCTACTATACCATTTAAAGAAAATTACTCCTTTTTAGTCTTTCTATTAATAGAAAATTTTCCATTTCCCTTTCCTTTGTCACGAGATTTACTACTTTGATAAAAGGCTATCACCACAAGGGTTTTGATCATTGGCCACCATTCACGATTTAGTTTTAAAACTTGGAAAAAATATTTTTTGAAAGTTAATGTTGTGTTTGGACATGTATTTTACTTAAAAAAAAATTATGAATGGAAGAAAAAATTTCACCCAAAAATTGGTCCAAAGACATAATAATCTCAACTTCACTTAACTGAACTAGGTCATATGATTTGGAATATGTTTGAGTATTGAGATTTTGATGATTAACAAAGTTTGTTCAGATGCAATCTTCGAAGAACCAGGTCCTCAACGTAGCTGCTTAACTGCTCTAAGAACCAGCTCCTCAAGGTAAAGGACCAGCTCCTAATGGTTGATGACTTTACGTCTTTAATTTGCAAGACAATAACTTTATCTCAAAGTTACCCAGATCCGAGTTTGGTGGAAGAAGGTTGTTAGACATGATAAGGGTTGTTGACCAAGAAGATACGAATAAATAAGTGAGAGACAAGAGTCCCAAGACTTGTGGAATCCTTGGAACAGTATGAGTCATATCAAATGAGAAGCTCACTACGCATGGGACTCCTAGAAGATCTTGGAGTCCAGGTATTTAAATACTATCCATCTGGACTGCTGAGATTATCCATTTACACATCAACTGAAGAACTATATTTTGCACACTCTCGAGTATCAGTGTTGTGTTTTTCTTGAGTCAGTCTAGTGAATATGTGTTAGGAATTTGAGTTGTAATCAAAGTGTCACAAACAATTAGTGAGTTGGAGAGAGTGTTTGCTTTACAGGTTAGAGTAATTTGTAAATCAAATAGTCGTAGTAAGAGTACTGGAGAATATTGAATTGCGGTCTTGTAATCGATACGTTTTGGCTCATTGTTCTAGTGGAGTTGAAGCTGAAAATCCTACGCAGTATTTCGTGGTTTTTGCACCTTTTGAGCCGAGTGATTTTTCACATAAAATCACTGTGTTTACTTTACTGCTTATTTTACTTCACGTTTAAGGAATACGGTAAAGAACCAAGTTCTTTAATAATTCATAAGGGCACTCAAACTAACATAATAAACGTAACAGTGCTTATAGAACAAGGGAAGAATTATTTAAGCTTATTCCATAAGTAAAATTCATGCCTGGGATTAGGCAAGACTCTTCCCAATTGAGATAACTAATATTGGTTGAAATTTTGGAAGTAACCCAACTTAAACCTTTCTTGTCTACATAACTTACTTACAAATATATTAACTTAACGAATTAGATGTTTTACCATTTTATTGATCAAGGACACTTTTTATAATTGGACTTTGGCTCAGCCACTGTACATTAATTTAGCCGTTAGAAGAAAATCCTAAGGCAGTCAATATAGAAAAATATTAGTAGTAGTTGACACAAATACAATTTAAGAACCTTCCTGTTAGCATGTTGCTTTCAGCACATTGACAAGCATTAGTTTTAGCAATTATTTTAAACGTTTCTTCAGCTGTGTAAGTGTGTTCAGTATTTGTGTCAAACAAAATTCAAGAACGTAACTGCCCTTTGTTTTTCTCGTCAAAAGGCTCTAGATTGTATAATTACATTCTATAGAAATACAAATAATAGACGTCAAACTATAAGTCAAATCCTCCTAAGGTGTTTCTAGATAAAAAATAAAATAAAATAAAAAATTCCTCCCAAGGTTTTGAAGTCAGTACACCTAAATGAGGCCAATAGGAAAATTTCCCACGGATTAGTACATCAAAATGGGCAAAAAATAAACAACAAAAGTCTCCAAACCAACATGCTAATACCACGTACAGAAAGACAATGTTTCTTTTTTCCTTCTCTGAATGAGGTTATGACAACCAACAAACGATCGAGTAAATTTTATGGGTGGTCATTTAACTTTTGTTCATTACCCAAACGTCACTTTTCTTTCTTTTGTTACGTAAAAATCATTCAACTTTGTGTTCATTACCCAAAAGTCACATTTCTTTCTTTTGTTACACAAAAATTATTTTACTATGCTCTAGTTATCACAATAATCACTTTGACCAGATTTTACAAACCTTTCACCTGAAAAGTCTATTATGTCCTCCCATTTATGTAATATATTCGTACATTTAATTTTTTCTTGATATTAATTTTCAAGATATATAAGTAGCATTATTAAATTTGTCAGTAACATTACCGTGCACAAATCTCTAGTTCACGTTCTTAATCATGATTAACGAAGTATGTTTAATAAAAATTAAAAAATCAAAGCTCATTAATTTATCAGCTAATCCATACCCATTAATTTAATAAATAAAATACCCATATCTAGCCAAATGACACATTAGATTAATACTTTCAAATAAATAATATTAACAGATAAAGCTTTAAAAAACTTAATATTAAACACAAATATCTTTGAAACTTTTTAAAAATTTTATTAACTATAAAAATATCATTTGTTAAACAAATATGTTTTTATTATTTTAAATAAATATTAAAAAATAAATATTTTTTTATCATTTTTATATTTAAAATTGTTCATGTTTGAATATGATTAAACAAATTGAGTGTCATGAAAAAAATTAAATGTATGGATATATTATAAAAATAATAAATAAAATAATTTAAAATTATTTTAATTATAAGTAAAATACCTAGGTAAAAATATATTATATAGTATATAATTTAGAAGGTGTTACATAAATGAGAGGAATAATGTCAAGGACATAATAGACTTTTCAAGTAAAAGTATTATAAAATCTGGCCAAGGTGACTTTTGCGATAAATAGCGCAAAGTAAAATAATTTTTGTGTAACAAAAAAAAGAAAAATAACTTTTGGGTAATGAACACAAAGTTGAATGATTTTTACGTAACAAAAAGAAGAAAAATGATTTTTGTGTAATGAACACAAAATTGAATGACCACCCATAAAATTTAATCTAATTGTCTTGTAGATGCAAAACATGAGGCAATTACAAGAGAATACAACAAATCTATAGCAACCAATTAGGAAATACTTTAAACATTAAGACTTGAAGAAATGGGACATTGGCACCCTAAAATTCCTTTTTTTCTTGAGAAATTAACTTGAATAGCCGCCCATCAAAACTAATAGCCGGCAGATGTATATATTATATATAACTAGTCTATAATATATGTATATTGAGTAGGGCCTGTAAATATTTTTGACTGAGTGGTCAAAGGTGTAACCTGCCCTGATAATGGGGGCAGGACCAATTACACAGTGGTGAAACATTTTTTTTATTTTTCTCAAAGGTGAAACTTAGAATAGCAACATGTGAATTCAGCCCCCTGAAACTATTGCTAGTCAAGCTCAATTTAAGCCACCTTCCCTTTCTCTGTTCCTTATATATCATGAATCTGAATGTCACAAACTCTATCTATCTATCCAAATTTCTGCTTACTGCAGCTCTTTTTCTCATCCAAAATTTCAACAATTTCTGCAGCTTCTTTTCACTACCTTCGAGATTTGGACATTCAGCTATTAACAGAAAGATGCACGTACAGTAATGTTTGCTATACACAAAAGTTAGTGTTCCACTTTTGCATCTTCAAGACTAGAAAATGATTACATTTTACATTCAGAGTTGAACTGCTTGTAACTGCAGCAGCATAGGTGTGTGTAAAGTATAATAAATAGAGTGGACTAATTGAACACAACATTTTTCACACAAGACATGGATATACATGTGAAACCACCAAAATTTCAACAGATAATAAAATCCAAACCCATGCGTTGAAAGAATATAAATGTTAAACCCATCAAATTTAAATCCGGAATCCGCCTGTGTGAGTAATTAAGAACCTTTTAGCCTCGATATATTCATGTCATGGGAGAAAGCGCATGAAAAGGAGGTCATGTATGTAATATCAACAATTAAAGATTTAACAATCTCACAGACGATGCAGAAAGATCACCAAGCAGTAATATCACAAGAATAAAGTTCTGAAACACTTCAAGGCCTCTGAAATTAAGTCTAAATAAGCTCGTAAGCCACCACAGACTTTCCAATCTCAATTTCACAAGCTTAAGAAGAGGAAATGTTTTGGAGTCTCATAACAAAGCACCAGTATGCTGCCATGTGTGTTTCTAGTACACATTGCAGTGTTGAAAGCAAAACAAAATCACAAACTTAAAATCCAAGGATACCTTACAGATCGTTTTAACTCCGCAAACTGAGAGAACTACAGGTTACAGAAGTATTCCTTTATAGTCTTATTTGCATATAACACAACAACAAATTGTTCATATCAGTATTCTCAATGAATTCAGTTACTGAATGACACAAACATAATAAAACATTGAAATACATGGAAGAGGGTATACAGCTAAGCCCTGTATCAGTGTGACAGCTTTCATCTGTCTTCAACGAGCTTGCCACCGCATAGAAACAATTACTCTACTTTTTTCTGCTATCAACTTGGGATACAAATCATGAAAGTTACCTGCTTCCTGCTTTACAATAGGTCTGATATAGTGATTATTATTTTATGATTCATATCATGATGCAATTCCGATTATTGGGAAATGCAACCAGCATATCCAGATTAGGCATAGCTATGCCCAGAAATGTTTCAGAGAATATCAGAACATCTGACTCTACACAAAAACCACTTACATAATCAGTCAACAGGAAGCAGGATAGTTGGCTTGAAGACTTCAAGCATATGATCTCTGCTAATAGGTTATGCCTTTTCGCACCATTTCATTGAATAACTTCACTGGAAGGTATCAAAGCGTGCATCTAAACATTCAATTAGAGAGATAACACCTGATCTTAACAAAAAAATAGCACTTTACAATATATTTTCTATAAGTATACACAATTACAGATCACCGCGGAAGTATGGAGCACCAAAAAATGAGCTGGAGAATGTACCACCCAAATTGGGGAAAAGGGTTAGGAAACACATCAAGAAGAGTACACAACCCCAAGAAAACCTCTCATTTCCAAGGGGGGTGATCTCGTCTTGTGCAGGGGTCTCCTCTCCACCACGGAAGAAGGTTGCGAAGAGTCCCCACGCCAGACATAGTACGCTTCCGCTTAGACCACCTATCCCTAGCAACAGGGAAGTTGCAAAAGATAACAAAGCAGCAGTGCTCCTGCCAAACATAGCTTGTGCAATTCGCCCGCCCTCTAGTCTTCCGCATGGCAAGAGATTTAAAGAGGTCACAACCATCCCTGCAAAACAATGACCACATTGGGTGATGTAATGGAGAAAATTCCTTCTCACCATTATTTTTTGACAAAATTGGAAGTGTACATTTACTCTATGTAAAAATAGTGTAAGAGCATAATCGGGGTGTTTATTTCAAGACAGGGAATAGATACAAGTCAATCTGTTCCTCTTTTTCTCATATATGTCTTTTCCTTCTCCTAAAGGCTAAAAAGGAACAAACAGTTTTAATCCTTTACCTACGGGAAGTGAAAGTAACAGTAGTTAGGCTTCCTTGTGGAAAAGAGAAAAAAGGTGGACAGCCATACATAATAGCGAACAATCTTGCGAATTCACATCACAATTAGGTGACAGAAGCACCATAAAGCAGTGCCAGCGTCAGTTGACATGCTGCATTAAGAACTCATCAGGTATACATCTGGAAGTGAGACCACAATTTATTATGTCAGCATCCTATATTACCATGTTCTATGAGTTTATAAGGAAGATCAGTGATTATGCAGGAGTAAATGTCTATCCATGAATGACCTATCCAGATACTCAGCTTTTATGCAGGTGCACCACTTGAAAATTAAAACGAATGCTCTTTCCCAGTCCATTTTATTCCCCTTCTTCTGATTATCACCCTTGGAATAAAGGATTTCACTAAATTGAATGCTTTTTGTTTAGCTGGGAACGGTAAGAGGAGTTTTACAACAATGGAGGAACACGGGCATAACATAATCCAATGTTTTGAGGTCACGTCGTAAAACTACTTTATGAAGCAAAAAAATAATCAAATTTCAAGCAACTCACCTAAAAGTCCAGCAAAAGCAAGGGGATCAACTGGAACTCCCACACCTTCAACAGCATAAGGCAGCACATTCCCAAGATCATCAGTATATGGTCCAACAACATATTGAATGAAGGAGAACAAAGGATTATTATAGAAGAACTGAGGTCTTATGTACCTGAAAAAAAAAAGAGAACAATAAGCGGAACTAATAAAGAAAAGGTAGCGTAAGGAAAATGACATTCAAATTAATAAAATTCATACTGATGAGGTAAGGTGGGAAGGAGACATGTATGATATGCTTGAAAATTTCTCATTATGGCATATCAAATTTGCTCAAAATATTTACTTGGTAAGTCATGTCAATTTTGCAATCATTTTCTTTGTTAATTTTAATGTACACATAAAACATCACAAAGTTTGGGCCATCAAGCTGTTTGCGCATGTTAGTTATTCTATGGTAGCAAAAGATTTATATATGGGAAAGTTTCACCTCTGATAACTTAAATACACACAGTCATTCATACTAAGTTCATGCAGAGGCACACCAGAAAAGCCATTAAGCGCTCAAGAGAAAAAAAAAAATTCACAACCACAGTTTCTAAATCATGTCGGTCAAAAAAAGCAAGGGGAAAAACCAAAATTTGCATTCCATATTGAAGTGTATATGAGACAGAAATTATTCTAGTGCAATGCACCATTAAAGGGGAGAACAAAAATAATCACTTACAGTGCATTGTCACCTCCATTAAAGCTTCCATCAGCGATAAAAGCAGCCATTGCAAGTATTAGCGATGTCAAGTATGCACTTGCTGTACGAGCAACTGGAATATCAAATAAAGCCTTCTTATTTGGTAGCAGGGACTCGTAGTTATTCATAACACCCAGGCAACCAGTCCAATTGGATGGAACAAGAAAAGATGGACTAAGTTTGACACCGTAGCGCGCAGCAGTTACTCTTGTGGTTACCTGCCATGCATGTAAGATAGCAATTATTAAGCAGAACACAGACATCAGAAGTTTGTGTTTGTCATGAAAATTAAAGCAATTACCCCATCATAGTATGAAGTCGCAAGGTCTACAAGCTCTGAACTATAAATATAAAAACTCCGAACTCCACATAACAAACACATCATGTCAATCCAATACTACGAAACGCACCAGATAACCTACACTTACTTGCTTGAGTGTATCTAAAGGTTAAAAATTAATTGATCTTTACATTGCACCAATAGCTGAGATGAGACTTTAGAATAAAATTTCATTTACATGGCAAAAAGATTTTCTTAGAAACCAAATATCACAAATGTTTGACATCAATAAGAAGCATACTTGTGATTTGATCTAAAGCTTTCATGAGATTTAGCCATCAATTCACACGTTTTAATGGAGAAATACAATGCATACCTCTGAAACTCCCAAAATGGTCAAGAAGCCACCAAAAAGAGGGGCAACGTTGGCCAAGTAATCATCAATCGTTGCATCAGGCTTAAGGAAGAAACCACTGGTCAAAGCTATAGTGCCAAAAGTTGTTACAGCCAAAGCTACCGCACTGATGTAACCCGAAGGAGTACTTAATTTGGTTGATTCAAATTGAAGATCCATTTCTGACTTGGGTTGTACCACACAAGCCTGAAAAGAAAAATCATCAAATATAGATGCCATTTTCAAATGTAACCAGACGAAAATATCTGACTTTAAACATCTGAAATAACACAAGGTAGCCTTTCCCTCACACAATTAAATGCATTTGACTACCAAAAAATACTGAAAGAAAGAAACTAGGAGCTTCAGTTACAAAAGATTGTAATTTTAACACCACGGCTACACCTTTCCTTTTTTCGTTTTTTATTATTGATTCTGGCTCTTCACCTACATCACTGTATTCATTCCTCAAGATATAACCTCTCTCACAATCAATCAAGAATGTTAAATTACAAGCGCACTATTGACTCTAGATACTGGTCAATAGTTGCAAGTTCCGGCTGAAAGCTTCACAGCTTCTTAAACCTAGTAAACATACTCAACTATCAATAATGTAGTCCACTCACGAAAAAGGCGAAAAAGGCATAGCGAAACACTCAAAATTATCTTTTTAAACATCTAAAGTATACCTGCTTTACAATATCATTTGTTTTTTCCTCCATAAACCACAAAACGACCTCCCTTCCTGCAGCATCCGATAACTTTTTCTCTAATTTGGGGATTACTTCATCAATAGGCCTCCTCAAGTTTCCAATGAAAATTCCTCCATCTCCAAATCTCCTCACATCAGTTGCGAAGAACGTATCAAAGCCAAAACAATTCCTTAGCTGCCATAGAAAATTTATACAAACACCAGATACACAGAGAATATGTCATTAAGAAAATCAAGTAGCTATCGACAAGTACAACATAACATCAAAGCAGAAACTGCTAACCATGTATACCTATCCAAAAATATTCTTAAAAATGTATAATGTGCACCGAACAAATTGACTTTAAATTATGGATTTAAGTCATATGCACTGACACTATAAAGATTCTTTAACACTATCTGTGAACTTTAACCTGCGATAGCAGGTTAGAATACCAATTAATGCTCATCTAGAGTTTGCATGTAATTAGCTAATAAATGACCTGATTGTGTAAATAATTTTTACACAGACAGTGCGTCAAACTTAAACTCTATATAAATTAGGCTGCGCCACTCTAAACTAACTGAGTTTAAATTGTGGATTCACCGATCTGCATAATCATTTAAACAGAAAATTACCTTGTTAAGATCAAGAGCTACAAAAGCCTCCTCTGCTTTCTCCAACCTTTCCTTCTCTCTGGACAAACTATCACGAACCAAATTCTTAAAGAACCCCACAAGTGGGTTGCTACTGGTTTCACTATCAAGCTCTTTCAGTTTCCTATCAGTTCTCTTTTTCTCAAGCTTTATAGCAGTCTCAATTGAGGGATTCCCCATAAACTTCTTGAATTCTTCATCAGTCTTCCAATCCATTTCTTGTTGTTTCTCTCTTTCTATTCTTTCAGACTCTGATTCAGACTCATGTTGAGAACCACTCTCATGATTCTTAGATGAATCATTTTCTTCTGAAGCTACAGCCACAGAAGAAGATGAACCCTCATCTTCTTTCTCAGCTTTAACAGAAAAAATCAATCTTTTTCTATTTGGAACATACAAATTCAATCCTTTTCTATTAGGAGCATAAAAATTCAATCTTTTTGGGTTGTAAGTGGAAAATAGGGAAAATGATAAGTGGGTCTTTCGGCAAATCGAGGAGTATTTGGAAATTGAAGAGCATGAAGTAGCACAAAGAGTAGCCATGGGAGGGTGATGAAGAATGTTCTGAACTGAAGAGGAAACAACGTGGAATCCATTTTAAGGATGAGCAGATTTCGACTGGACCATGTAAGGGAAATGTCTAGAAAGTTGGAGAACAAGTACAGGTACAATGCGTTCTATAGGTAGTGACAATGAAATTGAAGTGTTGAAACCCCACAGAGATATTGGATAATACGACGCAGAAAACTTTGTGGTGTATGAAATTGGACTATATTGTGCATGATATATAATTCCAGGTAAGTCAAAATAAAAACCGGGTTGAGTTTATTCGTTCCGTCTCATTCTGATCTAAGATCATGAAAACTGAAAGGCAAGGGAAAAGAGGACAAGTGGCTTTGTTTGAGTTAAAATAATAAACTCATACCAATTATGGTTAGAAGTACGTAAAATTAGGATTCAACTTGATTTTAATGATATTTCTAAATTATAATTATAGATAATAAAAAAAAGTGATATTATTTGATTAGCTTATTTGTGTTTGACATGACCAAGGAATAAAAATATTTTTCTTATTTACTTTATAGTCAGTGCAAAAAAGAATGACACATTTTTATTTTTGGAAATAATTTACCTTTATATAATGATGTATAATCACACAAAATATATGTACCTCATTTTACAATACTGGTTCAAAAGTTTTTTTTTTTATTAAACTTTATATCCAGTCAAATAGATTCGCATGAATTGAATCGGAGGGAATAATACCTAATTCGTTAAGGCCCTTAAACTTATAAAGCTTCAGTCATGCTACAATGGATTAGGAATGTTTTTTCAAAGCAGTTTTTGTGTATATAATTGGCAGGTAGGGCCTTCATATAGAAGTATTTATATTCTGTTTGAATTCCATTCACCTAATGTGACGGAAGTAATTGACTTAAACTGATGAAGCAGAAGTAATCCTTCGTAAATACAAGAGAAGAAGAGCATGAACACTATATTATACGCCTTCCGTTTCAATTTGTTTGAGCCTATTTGATTGCGTACTGTATTTAAGAAAAAAGACAAAACTTCTGAACCTTGTGGCTAAAACAATTCATATATATTTGTATGACTATAAATATCTCATTAAGGGTAAAAGTGAAATTTTAAAGTTAAAATTTTATCAAATTTAGAAAGGATTTATTCTTTTTAAAATTGACTAAAAAGAAAATAGATTCATTCTTTTTGAGATGGAGTGAGTATAAATCATTTCATTAAGGGTAAAAATTAAAATTTTATCAAATTTAGAAAGAGTTTATTCTTTTTGAAACTGACTAAAAAGAAAACAAATTCAATCTTTCTGAGACGGAGGGAGTATAAAACATCCATTCCGTAGTACTTGCTAGTTCCCCTTTTCTTCATGATTGGCACCAATAAAACTTGATGGTGTTAGTGTAAATGAATATATATCTGATTGATTACATTTTTATCCTGTAAAATTATCTCAAAGGAGACAGACAAGTGCTTATTTGCGGGTTCATCTGTATTATGCCTAGTTTCCCATTCTGAAACAGAGTGCATATTTTCTCACCGTTACACAACGAGACAGCGTCGCGCAACGTACTGTCATGATTTCTAGGAGCTTTTTATAAAAAGGTGGACGACATATTAGACAATACAACTCGTCATTGAAGAATAGAGAGACTGCAAAAGTAATCATCTTCCAAATAATTGTCAAAATACTCATGAGTGGAAGGGGTAACAACACACTTGAACAGCTTTGTTGATGGCAATGACTCTATGGATGGCAATGACACCATGGCTACTCCTGTGCACCTATTTTTCTTCTTCTTCTTTGTTTCAATATATATAAAGATGTTCAGAGTATTTCCTTTCCTATTTGATTTAGGATTTTCTATGTACTATGTATTACTGGATTCAATGCCTCTTTTGATTTTTCTTTCCTTTTCCTTAGTCATGTCAAACTCAAATAAGTGTTTCAAATAATATCACTCCTTTTATCATGGTTAATTGATAAATTAGGTGATAATATGTTTAATTAATTTATATTCGTGTATTTATTGGTTTTTGATATAAGTATTCGGTGCAAGTAAGCTTTTACCGTACTCTATTACTTTGCCGTTCATATCCTTAGATTCCAATTACTCAGGCCTAATTGTATTTCAATCTGTTTTTCATGTCAATTTGACCAATTATATTTATTTATATATAGGTAATAGGAGTGCAAAAGTACCTGGATAAATACATTTACTCTTATTATATTCACACACTTGAAGCTCTTCGAAAGATATTTATTACAAGTAAATATTCTTTTCTTCAACATATTTGTAGTGCAGTTGGTCAAGGGATTAAAACAATTGACTTTCAACTAATAAATACACTTTATATCCAAATACCCAAACTCTTGGGGAAGAGATTTTTTTTTCTTTTTTTGTCAAAAGACTAAATTGGCCCCACATTAACCCCATTGTATTCTCACTCGTTTCTTTGACAAGAGTGAGTTGCTCTAGTGGTGAGCACCCTCCACTTCCAACTAAGAGGTTGTGAGTTCGAGTCACTCCAAGAGCAGAGGTGGGGAGTTCTTGGAGGGAGGGAGCCGAGGGTCTATCGGAAACAGCCTCTCTACCCTAGGGTAGGAGTACGGTCTGCGTACAAACTACCCTCCCCTGACCCCACTATTGGAATTATACTGAGTTATTTTTGTTGTTGTTGTATTTCACTCGTTTCTACTACGAAAAGCTCCCTCCTCCTAAGCATTGTCCATAACAAATGGAACTAGTAATGTGGGAAATAAGCCAAATATCTTCTGAAGTACGTAAAATTGTATTAATATGTGAGATTTCATTAAATTGTCACTGTATATATTTAAATTAAATCCTACGTATTATACATGGTAATATATTGTAGTGTAAGTTCTATTCCTATTTTTAAAAAATATAAAAAGAAAATCAAGAAGGTAGGTTAACTAACTATACAACAACAACATACCTAGTATTATCTAACACCGTGGAGTCTGGGGAGGGTAGTGTGTACGCAGACCTTACTTCTACCTTGTGAGGATAGAGAGGATGTCTCCAATAGACCCTCGGCTCAGGAAAACATACGCACACATTAATAAAAATATAGACAAGAAGGGACAGTACCAAAAAGTCATATAAAAGCAGAATAAAAACAACAAGATAGTAAGGTGATCAACAATGAAAGAAAACAACGGTCAGTCATAAAAATCTACTACCAACAGAAAGCGAGATTGCGTGCCAATACTACTGTTATGAACACTCTAGTACTAGTTATGTGAACACTCTAGACTAGGTTATGAACACGAGTCCAGAACCATAATGTGGTTTATCTGGACTCAAAGAACCAAAATGTGTGGGAAAAAAACTAGGCACCATAATATATATAGCGCCCTAGTTGACCGCGTTTTACCTTAACGGCCGTTAACGTATAGCGTGGTCAACTAAGACGCTATATTTGAACGTAAAATGAGCGGGAAGGTATAACCTATTAATGTAAGGCGCTATAGTATAGCGTCTTAATATAAGGCATTATACCCACATAAATTATCGGCCCCTTCTCCTTCCCCACCAAAACAGAACCCTCCCCCCCTCCGCAAATTAAAAAAACGAACATCGGTCCCCCCCTCCCCCATTTTTAAGGAAAAAAAAGCTCGAGTGGAGCCCGCTGGTCCCATAAAAAGTGTACATTATCGGTCCCACATCGTATCTAAGGCGTTATCTCGTAGTGGGTTGCTTGTTTCGGCTCAAAATCACCAAATATTTGACTTTTCAAAAACTTTAAATCGAGTTACTTCGACTTATATTTTATTAAAACTCATGTTTAAAAAATGCCTATTAATTGTTTATACTGTGTTCTATGTTATTTCGTGATTGTTTTGCGATTTAATTAATTTATTTTTTTAATCTAAATTATATTATTAGTGTGATAAAAAAACTAGTAAAATAGAGAAATTGTTATTAGTTGTTAAAAAAAATTAAAGTTAATTAGTTAATTTTTTACTTTGGTATATATTTTGTCGTGATTGTTTTGTGATTCAATTAATTTATTAAATTTATCCGGTTTATATTAGTTATTTGCTAAAAGATTTGTAAAATAGATACATTCTTATTTAGGAATAATTAATCTTATTTAGATGTTATTGTTGTACATCTGAATACTCCTTTGTCTTATTTATATTCTTCTTCAAAATCTACATACTATGTGGTATATGAATATGTGACTTTAGTTCCCTGTAGTGGTATCTTGTGCCCATAAGTTTAATGTAGTGCTCGTATTTATAATGTGGTGCCCTTTTAGCGTAGTAAAATGAAGTTTCCTTTAGCGTAGTATCTTTGTAGCTATTGAAATTAATCATATAATTATATGTTAAATCAAAAATATCTGAAAAAAATTGATAGTTCTAACACAAACTCTCTCGAATTCTAGTCAACAAACGTAAGATAGAGCTATTAAATATAAACTTATAAAATAATAAACAAACATATTAATAAACAATATAGTAAAAATATCGAATAAATTTTAAATAGTAAACAATAAAATATAAAATTATAATATAGATTAAATAGTAAACTAACATATTAAATAGTAAACTAACAATATAGTAAAAATATCAAATAAATTTTAATATTAAAGATACTGCAATATATTTAAAGATGTTAAGCAATGAAAAAAGAAAAATACTTTAATTAATATTATTCAATTTACAGTAGTCGTCATGGAGGTTTCGCCTGTGCATCCCGGACCTGCATCGCTAGAGCTACTGTTGCTACGGGCCGAGCATAGGTCTTCGTAGCTATGGGAGGGGCAGTTATTGGCCCAGACATTCCGTGCTAGACGAGTGACGATATGTGGGACTTTCTTAGGGCCCATCATATCCATCCCCGTATAGTTAGACGCCTTCAGGATACGGGTTTCTATAGGATTATTGAGATCAGCCGGTTGCAGCTGGATTGGTCGTTGATCACGACTTTGATAGAGTGGTGGCGACCGGAGACGCACACATTTCATTTACACATTGGCGAGGCTACTATCACTCTTCAGGACGTGGAGGTTCTGTATGGGCTGCCGGTTGATGGACATCCTGTAGCTTTACCGCATACTATGAGAGATTATACGGGATTGTAGTACCTAGAGATGTTGCAGCGGCTCACCTATTTCCAGCCAGCGGAGGAGGTTGCATTGGTTGGGGCTA